AGCTACGTGGTTAGCTTGAAAGTGGAAAAAGGATTTGATATACCTTCTTGTGTATTCATATATTTGTGATATATGTGAATAATTGTTTTATAAAGATTTTGGTGATCATTCACCCTACAATTACATGATTAGGGTAACTCACTAGACTCCTTAGTCTATCCCTCGTTTTTGTAATTTTAAAATGCGTATTGCAGGAAGTATAGAAGGTAAAGGAAAGGAAAAGATTTAATGCTTTTCTTATATGCACTCGGCTGCAGAATTGCTTTTGATGATTAGTTTTGTTGTTTAGTACAAAATATGTATTTTGAATTTTTGGACCTTGTATTTGGTCGTGATGATAGATTCTTGTACTAAGGGACCCTGATGTATACGAATATGTATTTCTTTGGTATGAAATATGTGTTATATGCGATGTGTGGGTTGGGGCGTTACATTAAAAGCAGTAGAATATGAAATATGTGTTCCGTTTCATTGAAAAAATATATGTACAATGAGTAATGAAACTAATTTCATGTTCAATAATGACCAACAAACAATTTCACAATATTTCGAAACGTCTTATGCATGAAAAACGTTTATTAAATAAAAAAATATTCAGTTTTCAAAATGTCTCATTAAATTTTTTAAAAATGTTTCATTCTTTATATGTTTCATCGTTCAACACTACATGACAATCGGTCTTTCTTTAATGACAGTCACGTGAATTCGTTCTATAAATGGTGAAACAGTTTCGTTCATTGATTTAATGATACAAAATATTTTCTTTAGTATTCAAAGTGTTTCATTATTTTTAGTTGATTATAGTATGTTTTATATTTCATAATTTATTAGGATATACCTAACTCACTGTAGGTGACAAGGAGTCACGTGAGTTCGGTAGTTGAAACGGTAAAACAGTTTCATTCGTGAAATTTAATGGTACAAAAAATTTGCTTTAGTATTCAAAAAGTTTCAAAATTTTGCTTTAATATACTTAATAACTTATTCCGGTGTGATACCGATAATAAGCATTTTTGAGTGTTTGAATAAACAACTTATACCGCTGTCAAACTGGTAATAAGAAGTTTTTAAAAAAGTTAAACCTTTCTATCTTATTAATAAGTTGATAAGTATTTTTTTATAGAAAAGCATGAGTTGTTTCAAATAAGCAATCCAAAACACCCCTTAATGCCTCTATACTTCTAAATATATTGATAGATTGATTTAAAAATAAATATATTTCTTATAAATATATTGATGATATATATTGATTGATTAATTGATGGGTTTTTTTTTCAATTTACATTAAAAAAGAAAATGAAAGATTTTAATGTTTAATATATTAAAATCATTTAAAAATAACTTAAAATTATAAGAAAAAGAAAAAGAAAAGCAGAAAAGAAAATTCCTCAATGGAATTTAGTATTGCTTTATATGAATTGATGATTTATGGTATTTTGTTTTTATGATCGATTGGAAGCCAAAGTCATGCATTAGAAGAAAAAAAGGGTCTTTGTTTTTTGTGCTAATGACCCGAACTCTTTTAATATTCGAATTACACGACAACGTAATTTCCCCAAATTATGCTCAAAGAATCAATAATTGGATCATATATAATATAAAATGGAAAAAAAAAAGATTAGCGACAATACTAAATATTTCTTTATTTATCTATACTATATTATAAAGCATTTAACAAAAAATTTTAAAAATCATTTTATATGTATGAAGTACTGTTTATTAGTGCATATTACTTAAAATTTAAGATTACAAGTAAATTGTATGTAAGTACAACTTATTAAAACTCTATGTTTGAATTTATGTAACTAATTGCAGATAAACATAATTAAATAGATGATAAACATTTCATTTTAAATATAAAAAATCTAAAATACAATTACGATAATTATTGAGTTTTAATAAAATACTTAATTATTATCTTTATAAAAAATTATATTATTAAACCAAAATAATTGCGTTATTAAATCTAAATTAATTATAATAAGAAAATGAATAAAAGAAATTACACAAAAAAAAACTTAAATAATTAGTTTCATACTAATATCATATATTTTTTTCAAAATTTTATAATATCTTCATATTTTTTAGATAAAAACATTATCGTTTTTCCCAAACCACATAAAAACCCGTATTATAATATACACAGAGATAAAAAAAAATCAAATATTAAAATCGAGATTTATCTCGCTGTATTGCACGAGTATCCTTCTAGTTATTATTAACAAAAAGAAACTAGATGACTTGTACTCACAAAAATCGTGTGTGGAAGTGGAAATGGATCATCCTCAAAATATCAATGTTTCAGGTGGAATCAGATGTTTTTCAAGAAAATATCAACAGATCATCCAAAAAATACCTTAATAAGCTATCATTATTTGAACTATCCACCAACAATTTATCGACCAATTTTTCGGACAAATCACTGTTTCATGATAGATTTCCCAAAAAAGTCCATAGATAAAACTTTTTCGCTTAATAGCAGAAATTATGTATAATATTTTGATTTGAACGAAAATTCCATTAATTACCGTCCAAATGTGACTCGAAACACTTTTGAGTCATCAGATAGTCTTTCATCTTTCTTTGTTCCACAAACCCTACCAACCGTCGACCTATCTTTCATATATTTTATAGTTTCTTTCTCTTGTCATTTTCGTTCACATCTTAACACACATACACACACAATATATATATATATATATATATATATATAATGGTTCAAACGAGAACATCTTTATTTTACGAGAACACAAGAATACCTTTTTACTATAGACAATTACACGCGATACTATTATTCCATCACATATGATACACATGTGATACTAAATCAGAGACGCGGACGATTTTCGATGCGATCTTAGTTGCGGATTAAGTCGCATTTACATCACTAAGCCCCCTCACAAGTATTATCACATGTGATAAGGTTGTTATGGATATAATACTTTAATCAATCAACACCATCACATGTGATGCTAAATCATAGATGCAGACAACCTTTGGCGTCTCTTAGGTCATAAAACACGTCGTCCGCTAAACAAGAAAAGGAAATAAAAGCATTCTATCAATAAGTTGACTTAAGACAAAATGTCTTTTGTCAACGTTCATATAGGAACCCATTTGAGACCTGTTAACACAGGGTTTTTGAGCTCTTAAAGCACCTTTTAGAGCCTCCCAGCATAACATCGTTATAGCCCCCACCGGAACATAAAACCCATACCGTCATTAACGTGGGGCGTTGAAAAACTTATTGCCGTACCTTATTATTAGAAAAAAGGGGAGCACTTTGATGGTTTTTTGTCGACAATTGGAACATGAGAATATTCAGTTACCCGGCAGGGTCAAACCAACAGCACAGAGGCTCCGCAGCAACAGGAGCCACAAAGACGATTATAGAAAGATACCAGGAATCTACTCAAACAAGAGCAGCGGTTCGCAGGGTCCCTCAAGCGTATTTTATCACATGTGATAAGAGTGTTCTCGTGTCTTGTAAAATTGAGGTGTTCTCGTTTGAACATCCACCTATATATATATATATAAATAAGACGTTTCAAATGCAACCCATTACATTTGTACAACCAATGCAACCCAATCAATTGAGATATATATTGAAATGATCAGAGTTCATTTATTATGATTTGAATATTTGTGGAAGATGAATAAGGTTCATTAATTATGGTCAATAATTTATATTATGAAACAATCTAAATTTTTATGAAATCACATTTTCATCAAATTAAATGGACGGTTGAGATTGAGTTGTATTGGTTGTACAAATATAAAAAGTTACATAAATAATCATCTCTCTCTCTCTCTCTCTTTATATATATATATATATATATATATATTCTTTCGTATATTTGCACTTTCTTTCTTTTGTCATTTTGGTTCAAACTTTTACCCATACATACATACATACGTCGGTATGTAATTAAATGATAACTTTATTGTGATAATCATAAGAATTTTTACTTTTAGATATCGTTTCACATGATAATCCTGATTTAATATATTGACGAACATGTATTTGTTTCACAATCTGTTTATTTCATATGTATTGAGCTCATAATGTCAAATTCTTTTACATATAACTTTTGTTTCACAAAAGTTCCTAAATTCTAGTCTTTGATGAAAAAATAAATTCATATGAAATAACACATGATCGATGTACTAGTTCTCAATGTTATCAAAATTTTATGGGATTTAAAAAGAAATGTGTTACATATAGGAGCTTAATCATTTAAGAACTCTATAATTTGTTAGATCTATCCTAAGAGCTTCTCAAACAACTATGTTGTAATCTCTCTCTCTCTCTCTCTCTCTCTCTCTATATATATATATATATTAAAGGAAGAACTAAGAGTATTGAGGTGACATCATGAGAATTGAGTATTGAGGTGTTGATGAATTATGGTTGAGTTTGAGGTATCTCACATTGGTGAGAGATTGAAAGATTGAAATGAGTAGGTGTGTATAAGAAAGAATAATGAGAGTCATTATTTCAACTCATGAGGCTTGACTCATAAGGTTATTTTATTTGGATGACCCTATTTTTTTAAAACAAATCTTATATTGTGTCAACTCATGAGGCTTGAGTCATAAGGTTATCTTATTTGGATGATCCTATTTTCTTAAGCAAATCTTATATATATATATATATATATATATATATATATATATATATATATAGAGGGTGGTTCAAATACTAACCACTTATTTTGTACTAACCATACTAACCGAAACTAACCAATCAAATTCATTCTTTTCTTTATGTTTAAATGTAACATATAAAATTAATGCAAGGGTGTTTATGTAACTTAACCATTATGTAACTCCCTAATATTTAATTAGGAGTTACAAATCTTTGGAGATCCCTCGATTATCTCTTTTCCTGATTATGAATTCTATCTCATTCATCCTCATGAGTTTGATGTCAAGTGAGGTTATACACATAAGTATTTTCGTTGTGTAAGTGTAAAAGATCTCCGTATCGTCCGAGTAATATGGATAATACTAGCGTAAATCATATTGATAACAATGGAAACGGCGAAGTTAAACATGGATACGGATACGTTTGGAATTTGAATTCCGGTGATGAAGAAGATGATCAAAGGTTGTCGAGTGGTAAGTGATTAATATAATGTTAATTTTGCTTAATTGGATAGCTATTGCCATTGTAAAGATGAATTTGTGTCCATATTTATTATCATCATTATGGAAACCAAAATCGGTGTAAAAAGAGCATAAATTCAGAAAAAATGTTTCCGGTTATGCAATGATGAAGGTGCTGAATGAAATGCATTTAACTACATATGAACACAAGGCCACTATGTGTTTATGTCATTATTTTATACTAACACATGTTGTTCTCTATTTTATTTTTTCGTAAATATAGTGGTTGCTTATAAGTGAAGTATGAACATTTTGATGCGAAAGTCTAATCATTTTTCAATGCCCTTTCAAACTTAACAAAGCAAATGACTAATGCAACGACCCACGTTCGTTTTGATAATACCCAGATTAATCCTTACGCAGTCATTACATATGATATATAAAATGATTTAATGATTCAAGCTGGTATATTTAGAAGAGGATGCTGATATATATAAGCACAATGAACAACCCTAGTACAGTTGTTCATATGGTCAGGTTCGTATGTAATCACGTGAACTACTTGTTCACCTGTCAAGTCATTGTTTCATATCGCTACGAATGAATAATGTTGTTTAGTTGTTCAGATGGTCCGACTCTATGTGTTAATGTGATCAGGCTCTGGGTTGTGATATGATTACGGCATATGTCTCATGTGAACTACGTGTGCATATGTCTCATGTGATATCCGTGTGTCTAGGTATAATGTTTGACTACCCGTGCATATATATCGGATACGTCACCTGCTGTCACACTATCTCGCTTCATGATGTCGAGTATGAGTGTTCATTGCGTTGAACTATAGGTTCACTATGACACGTCAGCTCTGGATTCATTCCTCGACCGTACGTGAATTCACATGTCGACATCTAATAGCAAAGTAGACATTTACACTATAAAATGTAAGCACCTACAATTATTACTACCTTCTTCAATCATACATCCTGGATTGTTAGTACATAAATTCTAGTTAGAAACATGTTTAAATACCAAAATCTGTTCATCAGATGAACGAAACAATGATATATCTTCAGTTTCCTTGCTTACATGAATCTTACAGCTTATCCTTATATTTTTTGGTACAAGGTAGTGTATTTGCCTGAGGCAGTAATAAGATTGATATATTGTAGCTAGCAGCATATTTTAGAACTATTAACAATGCCTTTCTGCCCACCTTGGCTGATGTGAGTTCACTATACCCCCTGGTTTCTGCCCTTTATAAAAACAATCATGTGATACATACTAACTTTAATCTCAAAAATTAACAACTTGTGTTTACACCAGGTGTTGATAATATAATTTCTTCACAACAAGAAATTGATTATGATATAGTCGAGAGTTCAAAAGGAATAAAGTTTTTTACCCCAAAGGTTGATGACGTGCTCAAGCCAAAGACCAACACACAATATGCATCGATGAATGAGGTTGAAAAGATGTACAGGACTTATGCGGACAATGCCGACTTTGATGTTCGTATTCATGCAAAAAAAAAAGACAAACAAGCACGACGATATTCAAACTAGGTGGTTGGTTTGTAGCAGGCAGGGAACCCCAAGAAAAAAGTATTTTGATTCATTGGATATGCATGTCGGTGAGAGAAGATACCGCAATACAAACATCAAGCGTTCTGGGTGTAATTCATGTATAAAAATACATTTGACGAAGGATAGGGCTTCTTACGAGATTTATAAGTTTGTTGAGGCACATAACCATGCATTGTTCGATATTAATGATTGTCGTTTCTCTTGGAAGAATAGACAGATGAAGTATACAGACTTCAAAACTGTACTAAACAACTCGAGTTACAAAGTTGGTGCGAGAAGGGCTCACCGTATTCAAACCGCATTGAACGGGGGATTCGAACATACGCGAGTCTCCGAAATCAACTTCAAGAATTTTAAGAGGGATGCTGTTGCTTGCGTTGGTAATAAAGACGCGAAGATGTTGATCAATAAATTATCAAATAGACTGGATATTGTCCCCGGTTTCTTTTTCGAATACAAGTGTAATGAACAAGAATTGAGCGCAATTTTCTGGGCAGATGAAGTTGCTAGAATTAACTACAAAGAATTCGGTGACGTCATATCGTTTGACGGGACTTTTCGCACTAACAAGTAAGATTCCCAAGTGCAATACAGTTATTTGTCTTTCACATCGTTTCTATTTTTTTAATTGTCAAATGACTTGGCTACAAATACATACTCATAATATTCGATATGTTTTTCCAGGCATGCAATGATCTTCGTTCCCTTCCTGGCTGTTGACAACCATAAGGCGTCCGTTGTTGTCGGATCCGCTCTAATAAGCGGCAAGACAATTGATAACTTTTCTTAGGTTCTAAAGGCTTTTCTAAAATGTCATGATAAACAACCTTTGTTCATGATTACAGACCAATGTTCGGCGATGAAGCAGGCTATCCCGATGGTTTTCACGGAAGCCAAGCATAGACTCTGTATGTGGCACATTATGAAGAAGGTGCTTTCAAAGGTAAGTAGTATATTCTGAATTCTATTATATTTAAATGAGGTTTTTGTTTTATTCGTTCATTTGTTGAATCCTTGTAAACACAGGTTAGTGCCACACTAAATCACGATCCTAACTTCAATAAAGTTATCAACAAGCTCGTATGGAACATACATATTGGGCCAATGGAGTTCGAGACTCGTTGGCATGAGATGATTCATCAATTCAATCTAGGTGGGGATACTTGGTTCACAAAGATGTATGAAATCCGACACTCATGGATCCCTGCCTATTATAAGGATACGCCGATGTCTGGACTAATGAAAACAACATCAAGATCTGAGAGTTCGAATTCGTATATTAACATATACGAATCATACTGGTTTGATTTGGTTCAATTTCTTAATAATTACGACGTAGCTATAGAGAAACAAAGATACAAACAATCTATCCACGAAAATGTCACGAGAACGACTAATCCAAAGTTTGCTACTCTGTTGCGTTTAGAAAGTCATGCATCAAGCATATACAGTCGAAATGTGTTTTTTGACATCCAAAAGGAAATAAAGAAGGTGTTGATCCTATCTCTCAGTGATTTGATGATAATCCCTTTTAATCTATCGATGTAATTTTGTTTATGTATTTTCAGTT